TTCTATGAACTACCTTATTTTTTTCCTTAATTTTCTCTCTGACCCATGAATTATTCAAAAGTGTGTTGTTTAAATTCTATATGTATACATAGTTTCTATGGTTTCTTTTGTTATTGAGTTCAGTTTTCCTGCACTGTGATCTGATAATATACATTGTGAAATTTCAATTCTTTTGCATTTACTTAGTTATATTTGGTTAATTTGGGAGAAAGTACCATATGCAACCAAACAGACCCTGTATTCTGTTGTTGTTGGGTGGAATGTTCTATATATTACATTGATTTGTTCAAAGTTTTAGTTCAATTCTGCTATTTGTTTGTTGACTGTTTTGTTGAGTTGCCCTGTCTATTTGTGATAGAGGGGTATGAGATCCTCTCCACTGACATTTATCTGATCTTTTATGTCTATCAGAGTTTGTTTTATGAAGTTGGGTACAAAATAGTTTAGTGCATATGTGTTTGCAATCATTATCTCTTCCTGTTAGTACCTTTCTGAATAGTTCCATCAACAAATAAATATGTAAAGTCTCTCTTTACCTCTGTTGATCATCTCTGGCTTAAAACCTACTTTATCAGAAAATAGGATAGCTACCTCCTGCTTGTTTTCAGGTTTCCACTGCACGGAATGTTGTTTTCCATCCTTTGAGGGTTTTTTTAGTCTATGAATTTCTTTTTGCACTAAATGAGTTTCTTGTACACAGCATACTGTTGGATTTTTGTTGATCCACTATGCTAATGTGTGTCTTTTGACTGGCAAGTTAAGTCCATTTACATCCATAGTTACTGACCCATTCCTGCCATTGTATTAATTTCCTTAAGTGGTCTTGCTCTCTTTCCCTTTTATTTAATTACTATCCCTACAAGATGTATTCATTTTATTGGACATTTTGGCATTGTTAGCTTCACTGTCTCCTAGGATATCTTTGAGAATTTTAGATTGTTGGTTTGGTGGTCATGAATTTCTTCAGGTTTTCTTTATCATAGAAGTATCTTATATCTCCATAACTTTTTACTTTATTTTAAACAGAAAAAAATCCAAAATTTCAAAATACGGTAATTAGTGGGAAACAATGGTTAATAAATCATGTATTGTTATCTTTAAATCAGTTACTCAGAATACAATATATCTTCATATAATTGTCCCAGAACTATTAGCACAAATCTTTCCTTTCAATGAACTTAGAGGAAATTAGTCACATAATTATCTTACATTTATTTCAGCTTCTCACACAAGAGAGACAATAAAATATTTACACATGTAAGTCTTATGTATTTCCCCTATGAATATGGTCTCTAATTGCATCTGTTTACCAATGAAAGTAAGTAAAGTTTATCTTTCTTTATGGCTGAGTAATACTCCATTACATAAAAATGCCACATCTTTTTTATCCATTCTTTGGTTGATGGGCATTTAGCTTGTTTCTAAGATCTACCTACTACAAATTGTGTTGCTATACACATTGGTGCTCATATATCACTGTAGTATGATGTTTTTAATTTTTATGGAAAGATACCCAGAAAAGCAATAGCTGGGTCAAATGGGACTTCCAATCCCAGGTTTTTGTGCAATCTCCACACTGATTTCTAGAGTGGTTGAACCAGACTACACTCCCACAAACAGTGGAGAAAGGTTCTTTTTACCCACTATCCCTCCAGCCTCTGTTATTGGTTGATTTTTTGATAACAGCCATTCTTCCTAGGGTAAGGCAGAATCTCAGTGTTGTTTTAATTTGCATCTCTTGAATGCCCAAGTGATATTGAACATTTTTTCATATATTTATTTTCTGTTTGTATTTCTTCATCTGAAAAGTGTGTATTCATCTCAAATGCCTATTTTTTGGATTGGGTCTTTAAATTTGGGAGGTATTTTTTTTTTTAGTTTTTTATTTATTCTCTATAGTAATCCTTTGTCTGAACGACAGCTGATGAACATTTTTATCACATTGTGGGTTGTCCTTTCACTCTGTTGGTGGCTTTTCTTGCTTTGCAAAAGCTTTTTAATAAGTTGAGATCCCAATTGTTGATTCTTTATGGCAGTTCCTACGCAACTGGGGTTTTATTCATAAAGTCTCTGCCTACACCAATGTCTTCAAGAGTTTTACCTGTATCTTTCAGCAGATTTAATGCTTCTTTCTGTTTCACTATTTAGATTTTTGATACATTCCAAATTTAGTGCATGGTGAAACATATGAGTCCAATTTTAATCTTTGGCATGTGCAGAGCAAATTTCTACAGAATCGTTTATTAAACAAACTGTCTTTCTTCTAGTGAATGATTTTGGCAACTTCCTCAAAAATAAAGTAGCTTAGTATGTCTTGAGTTATTTCTGTATCTTCTAATCTGTTCCATTGATCCTCAGGTCTACCTTTTTGCCAGTATTATGCTGTTTTTAATCACGGTAGCTTTGTAGTTTAATTGCAAGTCAGAGAGTGTGTACCCACTGCCTTGCCTTTGTTGCCCAGAATTTCCTTTGCTCTTCTGAGTCTCCTGTGGTTTTCTCTAGTTCCATGAGATACGCTTCTGGAATTTTGATCAGAATTGCATTAAATCTGTGTAACAGTTTTGGAAGCGTGGCCATTTTCACTATATTAATTCTTTCTACCCAACAGCAAAGGATAGCTTTCCATTTGCTAATATCCTCTTCCATCTCTTTTTTCAAAGTACTGTAGTTTTCAACATAGAGTTCTTTTACATCCTTCATTAGTCTCCCCCCATAAATTGTTAAAAATTTAGAAATTTTTCAAGACATAACAGCCTGGGCTGATACTTTTTTTTTTAAGAGCATGAAACACTTGATGCTGTACACTCCTTGACTTTTAGTTTTGTGTTGAGATGTCCCTTGTAATTCTTTTTATTTTTTTTTTTCTGGTACCGAGGATTGAACTCACAACCATGCACTTGCAAGGCAGGCGTTTATGCCGCTGAGCTAAATCCCCAGCCCCATCCCTTGTAATTTTAATAGGCTTTCCTTTATAGCTGATTTGTTGCCTTTCTCTAGGAGCCTTTATGATTCTGTTCTTCTGTTCTTTCTGGTACTTTAAATGTTACATGGCAGGGAGTGGTGTTTGTTTGTTTTTGTCATGGTTAGTTGGGGTTCTATAGGTTATATGCTAAATTATTTTCATGCCTAGAATGTTTTCTCCTATTACTTGTGTAAAAACAAGTAATAAACAGGGTTTTTATGTCCTTTGTGCTGTCTTCTGATTTTTCGCAAATTCCAGTTTCTCTCATATTAGATCTCTCTGAGTTCTCCAGGAGCTGCTGGATCCATACTGTATGTTCCTTTGCTGCTCCTAAGGAATAGCTCTCTCTCCTTAAATGATCACTGCCAACAGTCCTATCCTCCAGGACTCTCACTGTGTCTTCACATGAGTCATTTCTGCTACTCAAACTTTCAATCATGGGTTTAATCTCCTGGAATTCTGTTTGGAACTTTCTTATGCTTTACTATTTTTAGGCTTGGGATTTTTTTTTTTTAATCTCCTTCTTAGCTCCACTGGCAGTTTGTCAGTGTCTTCTCTAGACTCGCAGATCATTTGTTTCATTATGTGAAACTGTGATGTGATTAGTTTTGTTTTGTTTTTAAATTTGCCAAGAAGCTTCCAGAACTGTTTTCCCTCCACTGGACTCTTTCAGATCTATTTGCTGTCTAGCTTATGATTTCTCCTTCTCTTTGTCCTCTGCACTGATTTTGGCGGAGTTGGGAGTTTGCAGAGGCATTTTGTTGCCTTGTTTTTTCAGCATGTCTGGTTTTTTTGTTGTTGTTTGTGCTGGGGTTTACAAACTCTTGGGCCTAGTGCCCCATTCTGCAGTATCAGGCCACAGGGTACTGTTTATGCCCTCAACCAAGCAATCGAGGCATTGGTGTAGAGAGAAAACAAATTGCTGACCACTACTATGTTACCTCGTCTGTGGTAGTAAATTCAACGACAAAAAGGGCATCAAATGACAACTGGATTTTGAGGAACCTTAGGAACCACTCATGAACAGCCCTTCACCAAAACAAAGGGGACTCTGACTTTAGTGATGACAATTAGACTCTCCTTATACTAATCTATAGTCATTTAGATCACTGATTTCCGATGGATGCTGGCAACAGTGCCAGCACCCTGGAAGGATCCTCTTTAGGATCTTGCTGGCTGATGACTGCTCCCACCAAACCTGACCTCCCAAGCAGGACACAGGCCATATGGTCATCTTAGTCTGAGCTCAGGCACCCCAGGGGAGCCCTGGAGATCCCCGTTTCACTTCTACCCTCTCCGCGACTATCTCACAAGGCTGTCTCTCACCCACTCTCTCTGTATCATACATGAAACTACTTTCCTCTCGATGTTCTTCAGCCAGCTCAGAGTGCTGGTTGTCAAATCTGTTGCCCTGGGAGTGGAGAACCCAGGGACTGGAGCGGACGAGCACTTCACAGATCTTCCAGCTTCCAGCAGGTGTCCTAGGTCCCTCACCACTTTCTCAATCAGCTACAGAAGTTCTCTGCCTTGAGCATCCTTAACTGAGCTGTCATGGTGGTTCCATGTCCTGAATCAACTCTAATGTTTACCTTCCGTGGTCACTTTGCCTTTGGGGAAGAGCTACAAGTCACACAGTGCCAGAAGGACTGAACGACAGAGATGAGGACACAGCATCACATTTTTATGAGCCAGCAGTTCTACTGGATGGCACTTGGTAGCAGCATTCACTGTGTTTTTGTTTTTGTTTTTGTTTTTGTTTTTGCTTTTGTATCACTCCCTGTAAAGACGTGGAAAAGCACTTCCAGAACTGCTTCATAAAGTGGCAAGAACAAGGCAATAAGATGGGTGTGTTCAAAGCAAGCAGGATTATTTAGATGGGATTAATGGCAATCTGCAATAATTTTAAATATTCACCATATATTTTGACTGCACGCATCAATCTCCTTTTTAGTCTAAGGACAGGTTTGCAGAACAGAGTATGTCACAATTCATGGCATAGACAGGAAATTCCAGGAAAAAATATATTTTAGCACCCTACCTGGTCCCAGGGAGAGACGGTGCCTCCAAAGCACATGAACAAGTATCCCATGGCGACGAGACATATCCATATCACCAAGGAGAACACGCGGAGCAGCTTCTTAAACACAGACTCAATGCAAACGAGGATGAATATCGCAAAGAAGATGGCCAGGGCAGTGGGCACTGTGATTAAAAATGCCACATGGTCTTCAACTTCCTGGGGAGAGAGGAAAAACATACTGAGACATTCCAGTTGAGGGACTCTGTGATACCAATGATTTACACTGTTACACATGGTAATCAGTGTCAAGGTACAAAGGGTTTAAGAAAATTTTTTCAAAAGTAGGACACGAGGAACTTTTAAAAACTTAAGTTTCATATTAAGTAACTGTATTTTCCTAAATAGATCATTCAGTATTGGTTATTCAAACTAAGCGAAAGAGCTAGACTCTCCAATTTACACATCCCCTGAGAAATGGGGTAAGGACGAGCTAGAGAAGCAAAGGCCGAGGCAGAAGTGACACAAGGAAACATTCAAGCCAGGAGAAAATAAAGCAACAGCTTTACTATCTGAATCAGCAGATCATAAACACCCCAGCTTTAGGAAAGCAGGTCTTCCAAGTGGCTTTGGAGCATTTTATTTTTTAAAAAAACATTAACCTATCTCAGGTTCTAAAATGACCAGCCTTTATTTTCATGCATGATAGTTAGTGTTTGAGTGGGATCCAGGGTTAGTAGAAAAAGGTCAGAAGTGCTAAATACAGAAAGACCAAGAGTGGGAAATGCTTGGGGCCGGGGTCTTATTTGTTTTGCTTCCTCCGCCTCTCTATGGCCCCAACAAAAGGAAAAAGTTTTTTATTACTGGCTTCTTACTGGTGCATTTTTCTAGATCCTTTTTAGCACACTAATACTCGCTTGTATTTCTAGCTGTCCGGCCACACACACAGTATCAGTTCCCATCCTAAATGTCATTTCCTCTAGTCACAAAGCCTGGACTGAGGGTATGTCTTCTGCAGTACACTAAGCTGGGGTTTGGCATGGATGCATTCAGTGGGGAAGGAAACACTGCCCAAGGTTTTTAATCCTTATCCACTCGCACACAGTTACTAAAACACCCAGGGAGTCTCAATCCCAAGACATACATGATCAGAACCCAAAACACTTCTGTGACAGTAGAGTAGCTGTCTTTTCCACTAGAACCAGGTGACTCTTAAGCTTCACCAATGAGGACAGGGCCCTCCATCCCATCAGCAGCTCTAACTCCACACCAGAGATTGCTCTATCCATACACCAAGCAACCAGCCAAAGGGAGACACGGAAGCAAACAGCTCAGCCCCAAAGCCACACCAAGCCCAGGTTACCAATGAAGGAACCAGGACCCAGCTCCCCTTTAACCGACTCCATGTCCCTCTCTTTGTCACAACTACGTATGTGTTAAATGACACCTGGGAAACAGAGGAGAATATATTTCAGAACTAGCATAAAACAAGAGGATTGAATGAGATCTTGTTACTCTCTCCTCCCATCAGTTAACTCCCTAACTTATTATCCTGACCCTCAGACACTTCTATGATCATGGCAAAAGAGTCTTAAGACACCTGCTAGCTGTGGGTGGGCTCTGGCTCCAGAAACCGTGGATTAATCCACTTGGACCACAGTAGCATGTCATCAGAGGCCATCGAATTGTAAATTACAAGTGCTACATACCTGGAGCCGTGGAAATTAGTTTCAATGTAAACCTCCCCAAATGAAGGCAGCTGAGCTATAAACAGAAAGCTAACCAGTAAATAAGCAGAAAGCTCTTTTCCTTGTGTGCCTTTTCACTTAAATCCAGGAGAGTAGAGACAAGCATCAGCTTTGCTGGTTTTTACATCTCCAGAAAAACTGAAAGGAGGCAAAAATATGCATAAGTATGAACTGAAAATTGGTAGCTGTGTGAACAGAAAGATTATGAAGCAGGCTTCAAGGAAGTGGGGGAGATGCTAAAGGGCTTCTCCTTTTCCAGCTGGGAAGGATTTCCCACTGTCAAGGCAGGTGGAAGATAGAGTTTGAGCTAGCTCTATTAGCACGGAACCTGTCACCTTGCAGATACAAGGGGGGGATGCAGTGTGAACAGAAAAGAGCCCTGAGATCCCCACAGCAAGCTGGCTTCAGAGACGGGGTTACAGCACCTGCAGGCAAAGTCTCAGAATGCTGGAATTAGAAGTCATCCCCACGGTCTAAACGTGTGCCTACATTCCCTGTCTCTGGGACTCGAGACCACTGTACTGCACAGCCTCCAGTGGTGATCACTTCATGGGACAGTCTTGGTTGGGAGGAGTGGCTCTGAGAAGTTTACACAGTGGGGGACATGGACTGCCATGTGGAGGACAGAAAAGGAAGTTGCTTCCTTCCATACTTGAGAGTCAGCTCAGGATCAGCTTTCTGGAGCGAGAGAATGAAGAGCCGGGAGTTAGTTTCCATGGAAGCTTGGTCAGAGGGCAACGCACTCCAGGGACCCCAAAGCTCTCCCCCTGGCTTAGGTGTGTGGGACTCCTGCTCCCTCCTTCCCCCAGAAGTTTCCAAGTACATGCCAGCCTTTTTCCCAGAACCAAAGCACCCTGCTTACAATCTCCAGAGAGTATCCTTGTTTGGCATCTCCACATCCTGCAGGAGCTCGTTCCATGCACACTGCAGCTAGGAGGAATTTCTGAAAGCTTCAACCCTAATCATACTGTTAGTCACCTGGCGGGAGCCACTATGGGAGCAGTCGGGGTGAAAACCCAGGAGCATCACTCTGTGTGTACAGCACACAGCCCCAGACCTCAGACAAGTTTCCATCAGTACTGGTTGTGACCTTTAGCCCTGCTCCTGCATCTGAGCACTTAGAAAAGAAATTTTACCTTTTTCCTGAATTTTGTGTTTAGTTTTTTTTTTAACCTTTTTCTCCTTTAACCTATTTTTTCCTTTTCTTTTCATTTTTGTTTTTTCCTATGACTGGATTTTGAACAGAGTTAAATGCACAGTCCATTTTTAAATTTTGATTTCAAGACAGAGTCTTACCAAGTAATCAAGTCACCCGACCTGGGCTTGAATTTATGATCCTGCTGCCTCTGCCTCCCAGAGTGCGGGAATTACAAGTGTGCACCATCCTCCCTGGCTTCCATTTTTTCATGTTTTGTTTCTTTTATCCTTAACAATTTTAACTTTTTGGTTTTATTTTCCCCTTTTCTTTTCTGTTACTGCTGATTTTCTTCTATCACCTGTTTTACTATTACTTTGCAGGCTAGGATGAGAGCTGAGGGCCTCACAGATGCAGGGTGGGTGCCCTGTCACTGCGCTATACTCCCACACAGCTGAGAAGAAATAAACTCAGCTCCAACCACAACCTTATCCCACTTGAATCTTGGAAGACACTTCAATTTAAAGAACTGAGAGAGAGTGTAAGCTCCTGGCCATTAACCCGTCCCCAAATGGGCACTGCTGGGGGAAGTTCTGAGGTCCTACTCCTGGACAGATGCTCCACACAGCAGAGAGGGACAACACAACAGCTGTGGACACTGTCCTCTGTATAGGTGACACACCAATCAGATCACACACCAATGCTGACTGATGCATCATCACAGATGGAACTGTGATCCTGACCCTACAAGCCATGAAACTGCAGGATCCTCACTAGTGTCTACGCAGGACAGCAGCTTTGGAGTCACTGCCACAGCTGGAGCAGCCAGCGTCAGACAGCTCCCAAGTCATGCAGCCATAGGAACACTGCCACTGGAAGTCACTGTCACTGACATAGGTTTTGCTCTCATTGTAAAGTGACTACAGATGATACACCCCATGTCACCTGTGTTTACTCAGCTGTCTACATAGTACCTGTCTCCGTAACAAGAAGGTCCTCCTTCCCAAAAGACAGACAGTGGGCCCCTCAGACTCTAAAATGCTATACACTGGGTCAAAGCCCACTAATCACTGCCAACAAAACCACGAAGACATTATATACAAAGTCCAAATGGAAATAACTCAACAGTACACAAGGGACTGATACCCCAAGACACACTGCCAAGACAAAGCACCTCACTGAGAAGTCCATCACAGAAGTGTGAGATATCCATCCCAGCCAGTGAGCAAGTCTCAGCCCAAGAGATTCTAAAAAAAGTGGCGGGGGGGGGGGGGCCACAAGGAATATGACAAAGGGAGGTGACCTGATACCTCCTAAAGTTCCTAACTCCCATAGCAGAGTCCAAAGGTACCGGAATGAATGAAATGCCAAAAAATTCAACAGAGTGATTTTTAAAATCTTACTGAAATTAAAAAAATACAAATAGTTGAATTAAGAAAGACAATGTAGGATGTGAATATTTGAAAAAAGGAAGCAAATAGAAATCTTGGATATGAAAAAGCTCGAAAGCCAGATAAAGAACTGAAAAGTAGACAAGACAAGGCAAAAGAGAGAATATTAGAACTTGAAGACAAGATTGTTGAAATACTGTAGTCAGGCAGAAAGAAAAAAATCTAATGAAGAAAATGTAAGCTCTCTGATTGCCATTAAAAGATCAAACATCCGTTGACTGGCCTGTCCAAGGGGAAAAAGCTATGGCTTGAGGGGATTGAAAACTACTCAATTAAATAATAGCAGAAAATTTCCTAAATCCTCAGAAAAACATGATTATCTAAGTGCAGGAGGCATTTAGCTTTGACCAGAAAGAGACCTTTCTACAATACATTATAATTAAATTGTCAGAAGTACAAGAACAAAGGAAGAATTCTGATACTTGCAAAAGAGAACATCCAAGTCATATTTAGAAACAAATTCATTAGACTAAAGATTTCCTAGCAGAAACCCTGATGGGCAGGGATGATATAGTTCAAGTACTGAGAAAAAGTTCTTAATAACCAAGCCTGCTATGAAATCCAAAAGTAAACAGAAGGAGCTACACACATATTCAATAAAGTACATAAAATGCACTTACTTTGCAATAGTAAGGACCAAACCCAGAACTACTCTTGAGCCACACTTCCAGTCTCCGAAAATATATTTTAGACAAAATAAGTTAGAAGACACAAACCAAGCCACTACACATTAATCAAGGGAACAGTTTATCAAGAAAATATAACACTTATAAATTTATGTGCACTGTCATGGTTTATGTCTGTGGCCCCCAGGCCTCATGAGTTTGCATTGTGCATTTGTGATGGTTCATTGTCTAGTGCTTGGATTGATGGTGTCAGTGCTCC